TGTCCCCATCCCACGAAAACACATATTCAGTCCTACATTATAGTATTACTTCATAAACTAATCTGTTAAAGACATGACTCAGAAACGTTTAAAACAATTCCAAGATTATATCAATTTCTTCGTATTATGAAAAGCGTAACTAATCACAGAAGTCACCTACATGTTATACTTGTCACGTTAAACACAGCTAATCAGTATCGATCACTTACATAATCGAGAGAGTGAATCGATTCATTTCACTTGTCAACCCTATGACAACCATAGCATGCGTTCAGAAGCATTAAACTGATTAGACATCGCGAACCTAACCAACCGGTTTGTGACTCGTTGTTAAATATGGACAGTTGACAGCTGCTCTATAAAATAATTATGTATTATACTCTTCCTATTAAGAAGGTTGTTCTACCATTGTTATTGGCTACCTACTATCATATGTATCGTAGATAAAAAGATCAGGAAGAGACTCTTACGCCCGAATACTGAAAGGCTACTCAAGTTTACGTTGTGGTTTAATATCATGCTATCACTGTCATTTTCCAAAGAAGTTGTAGTGACAGAATTATAGTTAAGCGCGTCTTAAAATTGGGTAACCTTTCAGTATTCAGGCGTGAACCTGATGATAAAATGAAATTATTAGATTCCAAAATGTTGTACTCTTTTCAAGAAAAGAGTGTATTCTTTTTAAAAGGCGGGCAACGCACCTTTGACTCCTCTAGAGCTGCGGGTGTCCATGGGCGGCGCTGATCGCTTGCCATCAGGTGATACGTCTGCTCGTTTCCATAAAAAAAACTGTGACGTCACATTTTTTATAAAATCGTAATAAAAGCCACGACCTTAATAATGTGTATTATAAGTTTAAAAACACTCGACAATCAGTTAAAAAATACTAACGAAATATTAACGATTGAACGTAATTTAAAGTGCTCAAGTAGGTACTACATACCTATACCATATAAAAAAAAAACTTCGTATAAATCCGCCTTCTTTCATAAACCTTCACGGACGTGATACCATTCATTAATTAAATTTATTCAAACAGGAACCATGCAAGTCTGCTGTTTAAGGCGACAGATTTCTTTATTAAAACGTCATACACATTATACACACAAGTACTTATATTGTTACAAAAACATGTTGTTAGCTACACAACGTCAATCGCTTTTTTACGCCCACAAAATTAGCATGAACTAAAGCTACCTGAATATCTAATAGAATGGATGGTATCGAATATCGTTAAATACTCGTTTCAATATCATTTGTATTGTTCCTTAATGAAACTGATTAGTCAAGGTCCAGACTGATTGTTAGAGATCAACGACTGAGTCCTTGTATGTCATGTAACTGCTGACCTCTTATGTTATATGTCCAGTTTCTGATAAGTTCAAACAGTTACAAACACAAAAAGAAGAATGCACATTCTCATACAACTTACTTTGTTTGTTTCAGATGACACAAAAGACTTGAATGCAGAATCATCAGAAATAATATCAGAAGCAGTGGCACCACCTCCTGGTCTTGTACAACAGTACCAGGAGCCTGAAGCTGCAGCCACAGACGACCACACTGACCACTCCATAGAACTCGTTGGAGGCTCACAGACATTCTTCCCGACGTTCGCTAACCTCTTCGAACCACGCCAACAAAACAACTTCAGACTCGGCGGCTTCGGCAACCAAGAAGGAGCCTACAGTCAAAGACCCAACTCCTACAGATCTTTACTAAATTATCCTCTCTTCGGAGGCTACAATAGAAACTTAGAAAACTTCGGTAAACACAGCACACCCACCGCAGCTCCGCTCGTCGAAGCGAGCTCAAGTTTGCTTGGTTCAGGAAACTTTGGAATCATCAGAGGCGGAACATTCTTCGCTCAGAACGATGAAGATGAATTCGGAGACGGATACAACTCTTACTACAATAACGGTCATGGTAGACCTTCATACGAACTTGGATACATAGCGAACCCTAGACCGAATTACAACCAAGACCAGTTTGCAAACTTCAGAGACTTCGCGGACATCAACACTCCTTCCAACTCAGCTTACTCTCACTACGTAGTTGTGTACGCAAACAAGAATTCCACAATGGACGAAATCAGTGAAGAAACGAGAAGAGTACTATCCAAGCCTAAGAACATAATTGAGACGCTAGAAAGAATTGACAAAACAACAAGCGCACCAAAATTATCGAAAGCCAAATCAAAATTAGAGGCGACAAAGCAGAAAATGTTGAACAAAAAAGAGCAATGGAAAAAAACTAACTCAAAATTCGTCAGTCAAAAACATGATGCGGAAGAACCTTTATTAGCGTTAAGTTAATTTAGTGTAAATACAAAGACTTGCGTTATGTAAGTGATTGAATTAAGTGAAGTACCAGCAGGTGATGTCAGTGAAGTGTCGCACTCTGAGTGTGATGAGAGAGCTGGTTGTCTAAAGGAGATTGACCAAAAGCAGTCTAGCAAAGTTTCAAGTTGAAAAATCAAAATAATATAAAAATGATTTTCTTATTTTTTACAACCTTTTCACTTCAGGAATTGTATATTCGTATCCGGAATTATGATAATAAGATTAATAGTAACATAAAAATTGCTATGGAATTTCCGTTTCAAGGACATTGACGTTCCGTGCTAACTTACGAATAAAACTTCGTGTTTACGAATCACGTAAGTAGAACCTTTCGGCAAAATCATCACAAAAATTATATCAACTTCAATAAATAGCTAAATAATTTGTAATATCAATACATTTTACAATGTATTTATTTAGTATTTTATAGTATTGTTACAATTATAATTATTTTTGTGTTCCGTCTCACGCAGAAGCAACTGTCATAACATGTGACAGACAGAGTGGCGGATTTTGATTGTAAGGAAAACTGTTTCTGTTTCACTGTTTGAGTGTTTGTTTTGAACTTTTGAATAAATAAGCGTGAGTTCCATGTAGCATACGACAAGACGTTTTTATGTTTAGTTATCTATAGACACAATAGGTTGCGGTCACCGGTGACCGCACGGTGTTTGACAGTTTAAACATAATTTTAGGTTATTTTCGTTTTTGTCTAATTACTTAAAAACCCGGATATTTATGGGAAAATGAACGCTTTTATTCGATAATATAATAAGCATGGTCTATAATAAATAAAGATTTATTGTGCAACAACGTAAGACGAAATTCCATAGTTACGTGAACATTCTCCTTTAATTATAAATATAAGTTTGTGGACAAATTGTGTAAATGGCTCCGTGCACATGCGATGAATGTTTGCAAATGATTGTAAATGTATTAATATTAATGACGAATAATAAATTAATTTTTAAATATGTGTTCCTACAATTATTTGTGTAACTGATCCTCTGTAGGTGCTTATTATTGTACCTTGTTAGCGATGTACACACTAACAGTACGTGTACGTGTCGTTATCAAATATGTTGTAAGTAGACTGCAGTTACAAAAGTGATCTAGATTCAACGAACCAAGGTGTTGCTAACGATAATTACAATTTAGGGGTACCTATAACCTAACGGGTTACCGGGGCTCCGGCTCGACGTGCCGGAGAAGGAACGGGGTGGTTTTTAGTCAGTAAGAGGCTGACACTCACTCCCGCCTCACCCAGGCGGGAGAAATCATTCGATGATATTCCCACTTAAAAAAAAAATGGGGGTACCTATATGGCTATAGGTACCGCCAACTATATCTACTTATTTTGCTCTTCTTCATAAACAGTCGTCATAATGTTGACGTTAAAAAAGGATTATGGCAACACCAGTAATTATTCTTTTATTTATTTATTTGTCTCAGGCATCTTGGGCCATAGTAAAAAATACAATAATACTTACAATACAAATAATTTAAGTTACTAATACTAGATGACTAGTATATATATGAACATCTACGTCTAATATAACTATATAATCCCGTCAAATTTAATAAGGGGTTAGTTAATCAAACACCGGGCATAATTTCTAACTCCGTGTCTACTATTGATGAGAATTTTTGAAAACACGAAAATGGTCTTTACCACTAGCCGAACCCGGAATCGATGTCAAGGGATACACTTACACAGCACAGCAGTCGTGCTAGCGGCCACTTTAAGGATGTTTCCATCTATTCATGCTCACAAATATTTTGAATCAATAGTAAAGAAACATTGTGTCAAACGAGTTAATAACGAATACCTATTACCATTAATAGATATCTCGACAGAAGCAATTTTAAAAAATTAATTTATTGTCAGTAAAATAGTATGATGTTTATTCCACACATAAATTAATCTATCTTCTTTATTTAAATACACAAAATCTTCACTTAAACAAATAATTCGATAAAGGAAGGGTTAATGTTTGTGATTTATAACCTATCCTTTTTAAATAAAGACTCTACTTTTTATAATGTTATAGCTTGCTTATGGGACGACGTGCTTCTTGATAGACCGCATCATCGCTTACTAACAGGCGAGATAGTGGTCAAACGTCGTTACGTCGGCCCATCAAAATTCAAATAGAGATAAAAAAAATATAAACGCTCATAAGATGTACTCTGACATCTATTGTCGAATAGCTGAACTGAAATATGAATCATACCAGTGTCGCCATCTATGTAGCTTAAAGTCAAACACTGATCTAACCATATGAAAAAATATATTACATCAAAAATTAATTCATGCTCACTAATATTTCATTATTTTAATAGTTTGATTTATTTTTATAAATAAATTTAATTTACACTATTTTTAGAACATGGTATTCATAAAAATCTATTTGACCATAAACAAACGAGGTATCATGACAACAATATGTTCGAGAAAAAAAAACAGATTAGTCTATGAAAAATGTGCTAAAGTGAAGACAGATGAACTGAAATGAATTTTTCTAATGAATTTTGCATAAATATAGTGTAAGAAATAACCAAATTTTATTCACACAAGGTGTTTAGTGTTCTTAGTGATATGCTAGCTTAAGAAGATAGCGTATTGTTGTGTAATTCGGCGTACGTATTTGAAGAATCATGTACTCCGGTAGGGATGCCGCAAATACTGCGTATCCCACGCAGTGGGCTCTAAATCCCACAGCATATCAGAATGTTGATACTAGTCATGTTGATTGGGCCGCTTTAGCGCAGCAATGGATTGCAATGAAGGAAGCGGCGGCGATTGTAGCCGCGCCGCCGCCTCCTGCCCTGAGGGCGGAGGAAGAGGGCGAAGCGCCCATGGAAGTTGAGAACCCAGATAACAACTCAGACGGCCCTCCCGGTGCCGAGTGGAACTCCACAACCAACTCATGGGGTGGATCTTGGAATCAATGGGGTATGGTATTATTATAAAATGTCTAGTAAAAATATCACTACTTTTTAGGTGCTTCAGTGTTATATCTAAAAGACATTACTGATTTTGGTTTAATAAGAAACGGTTAAACTAGATTGATATTCCAGATTATAGTAGAAATATCAAATCATATTAATTTTTAGTTTGATCTGAATGTTTAAAATTGTACAATAAATAATGATTTACAGCTTTAACAACCTTCAAGTCAACCCGCTATCAGGAATTGGACTTGTTTTGAATTATACACATGAATTTGAATCATACCTTCTATTATGTAAATAACATATAAACTGCATTGACATAGACTTCATTCTATAACTGATTTGAACTCTATTAACTAATGAGAATTTGGAAATTGAAAGAACCTATTAATTAAACTAATATCCGTGTAGGATATCAAATCAGAAATTCCTACTTAACTATAGACCAAATAATCCTTTAAAGATAAATTAATATTTAATAAAAATTTCACTAAATGCTTCTTTGAAATATTTCTCTAAATGAGTAATTATATTCTTAGGTTGGGGATGGTCAGGTTCAGGGCCAGTGGAGCCTAAAATACCACCAGACCCTGCTATAGGTATACCTCCTCTCGTAGAAGGGTATACCGTACCCCCAGAAACAGCTGCTCCAATACCTGGGTAAGATATTTTTCACTCTTATTCTATTTATTACCACAAAATTTACGCACTCAATAATAACTTTAAACAACTGTTTACTTAATAGTGTATAAATAAATAATATATTATGTGTCTACTGTAAACAATGCCTACCTATACCCTGTGGAAAAATCCTTGTTAATGTACTACACAGTGAATATTCTTACAATTTATCAAGTACAGTTAAATTTGAAATGGAAATACCCTTATAACAACCATAAATCCTAACAATCATGGTCATGGATATGTCAAACCTCACAGCACCAGAAATGGCAAAAATGTTGAAATTGAAATCTTCATAAACAATCTTAAACAATAGGGATATTCCTATTGTTTAGATATTATTGTTGTTTAATTTAGATTGCATATTCTAAACATCCATGTTCATCCAGCCTTTACGATTCACTAGAATCAATATCTGACCTAGAAAATCTTAACAAATAGTGTTCTACTCCAATAACAATCTAACAAAAGATCTGAAGCTAGTTCTGTCCCTAACTGATGACTCATCTACATATTGTATACACTCCATCTTCAGCGAATATGGTAACAATGCCAACAATGAATGGAGTTGTGTAAATGGTTAAGATATTGTTCGGTTAATCAAGCCATTGATCAAGGTATTCTTTACACAACTGAATGGAATTCTACTTTGATATTGTTAAGTAAAAGAGATCTGTGGATTTTATACTACATACTATGGTAGCAAACAAGACTTTTGAGGATTTAGTCATTTTCCAATCAAGTTTTTGTCCTTAGAGTTAAGTGTGACTTATTTGTTAAGAAACCAAGATAATATTCATAATTATGTATATTGCCAATACAGTGTCCATAGTCATAGTCTCTGCCTACTCCCATAGGAAACAGGGGTGAGGTTATGTATGTATGCCAATATGCATGCAATACATCTAGAAACTTATTAGAATTCTTAATTATTGTTGAGTTATGGAAACAAAATAGGTTATTGAGTTTGAAATCTAAAAGCCGCCAGCCGTCACTATTCACTGATTATCAATTGTGGGTTGATGAATTTATGATTTATATTTATGGTGTCTATAAAGAATTTTTCTATCTAGATCGGTAATTAGAAGTGAACCTATATCTATAACTGCATAATTGACCTATATAATTTCTAGAAACAGTAAGGTACTTGAAGTAGTGCTGCCCCAGTTAAATCTGATTACAAATTACAAATAAAAATGATGGCATAAAATTCAATGGTACATTCTAGTTCAAGTGCCACAAATTCAATCACTATTCTGAATAACACCTATTATATGTATAGTGAAGAGATCTGTAGATTTTATACTACTATGGTAGCAAACAAAACAGCCCACTTGATATAACATTATTGTAGATATGATTCCATAGGATTTAGTCATTTTCCAATCAAGTATTTGTCCTAAGAGTTAAGTGTGACTTATTTGTTATGAAACCGAGATAATATTCATAATTATGTATAGTGCCCAATACAGTGTCCATAGTCATAGTCTCTGCCTTGCCCATGGGAAACAGGGGTGAGGTTATGTATGTATGCCAATATGCATGCAATACATCTAGAAACTTATTAGAATTCTTAATTGTTGTTGAGTTTGAAATCTAAAAGCTGCCATTTTTTATAACTTTACTGATAATCAATTGTGGGTTGATGAATTTATGATTTATATTTATGGTGTCTATAAAGAATTTTTCTATCTAGATCGGTAATTAGAAGTGAACCTATATCTATAACTGCATAGTTGACCTACATAATTTCTAGAAACAGTAAGGTACTTGAAGTAGTGCTGCCCCAGTTAAATCTGATTACAAATTACAAATCAAAAATGATAGCATAAAATTCAATGGTACATTCTAGTTCAAGTGCTACAAACTCAATCACTACTCTGAATAACACCTATTGCATAGTGAGAGAGTTTGTCATAATCCTAGATAGGTACAAAAATATCTGTAATAATTACTATAAACTTGTGTGAAATGCATGTGTTAAAATATTTGATTAAATTACGTGAAACATTCAAGGTCTCATGCACTAGATTGAAAAGGCTAGATTTGATAAAACAAGCAAGTTGTTCATTCAAATTACAAGTAAAGATTATTACTATTTAATAATTATGTTCCGTAATCATCACATCAATTAAGTCGATTTCATAATTAAAATACCATTTTATGATCGTTTTTGATAACACTTCAACATGGTTGTAACATGCTGTAAGGTAATTAGGGATGTAAGTGAATTCCAGAAAGTTGTTACAATGCATTAAATTGTCCCCTAATAGATCCAAGCGGTCACCGGTGACTGCTCTCCACTTACACCATTATAAACCTTATATCCTATGTTTAGGGACTACTTTTCTATGAAAAAATGTTGTGGATTTTTCATAAGTGGACATTAAGAAGTTAGACAGGTCATTATAACATTATGTATTTCATACATTTTACATGTCATTAATTCTATTAATCTGCCTCACCTGCTGCTTGAAATGGTGTGCTTATAGCCTTCCTCCATAAATAGGGCCAAAACAAAAATAATACAAAGATGTACAAGCTATAATATACTTTATGAATACTGAACTTAAGTTTAAAATATTACAGATACACAACAGGCACTCCTGCCCCAACATTCCAGCATGGCTACTGGACTGCACCGCAGGTGGAACAGAATAACAGCAGGAGCAGTAGTTCCAGTCGAGACAGGCGATCTAAGAGCAAGAATAGGGAACACAAGCCAACTAGAACTTCCAGGGCACAGAGGTAAACAACATTTTATATTGTTAAAATTATTAATGGGGATGATGACAGGGTATGAAAATTAAAAATATAATTAGTCCGTAAGTTAGGTAATGAAAAAATATTAGACACGTATTTTTTTATTTTGTCGTATAATAAAACAATACTTAGATAAAACGAATCAAAGTTTAGGAGTGGGGGCTAAAACGTCATTTCTTAGTATAAAATGTACTGAGAAGTGACGTCACGCGACATTTCAAATCAATATATCTTCGAAACTATTCGTTTCTGTGAGAAAATAAAAAATACGTGTCTAATGTTTTTAAATAATCTACCAGACGGACATTAAAATAAAAATTAGTCGTCTACCCTATTTCTGAATTCCAAAGGCCAATAACAGCATTCATGAAACTGGAATTTGAAATAAGTAAACAGTATTAGCATAGTTTCGAATTATAAAGTTGGTGAATAGACTACTGCACAAATTGGAACAAACTTTCAATTCGCTCATTTTATTATGTATGCATAATTGTTGCCAGCTGATTTCGTTAAAGAAATATCTTTACCGTTTGAGTGGTCAAACTTGTTACTGCGCTAGTTGATCTTATCTATTAATCTGAGTCAAATAATCATAAGTTTATTATCGCTATGTCACATATTTCCTTGTTAAAAAGTAAACTTATTTAATTAATTATCATCGACAACAGACATTAATGCAATATGTACTTAACTAAAAAATGTGAATCATTCTTGTTTTAAGCCTTGAGATTAATGAAATTGATATATACATACATAATATATATACATACATAACTCCACGCCTGTCTCCCATAGGGTTAGGCAGAGACTATGGAACGAGATTTTTTTATACTAATGTATTGATTTGACTGCCCCATTGGCCGAGTGGTCGCAAGTGCGACTGCCGGGCAAGGTGCTTGGGTTCGATTCCCGTCAAAGTATTACTGGGTTTTTAAAAATCTCAGTAGTAGCATGGAGTCTAAAAATGTGCCCAGTATTTGGCAATAGGCTCACCCTCTTTTACGTGGGACTCATAACATAAATAGTGAAAAGTGGGTGTTACATTGTACAGTGGCATTAAGTATGTATGTATGTATGTATTGATTTGTGTATCCAAGGTATAAGAGCTAAAAAACAATAATCATCTACAACAATAAAGACTTGTTCCATAATAATCACAGTATGTAAAAATCCATGTACGCTTATTAGCATATTTAACAAATACAGCTAGTTGGACGCAAATATATAGGTAGGTATACCAAGGTCATCTATTCAGTATACTGCATTCAGGCATTCCATGTGATGACGTCACACTCTTTAATATTATGCAAAACGTTTGCACACAAAATAGGTAGCTTAGCTATTGTGTGACAAAACCATGGAAGAAAGGTTGGTTTAAAATAATCATGAGTTTTAGAACTACTGGTAATATCGGGACTATATTTACTCGAATTGGATTTGCTTTGCTTTGCTAGATTAATCTTATTTACTTTTGAGTTAAAATAATGATTAGAGATTGTGCATGATTAAATAGTGTTATTTTTTTTGGCCCTTTACCTATGAAGGGTTCTACAATGAGTCTCATACAGAAAATATATGGCATTGATGAATCTGCTAAGGGTGTCTTTTTTAAATAAATTGTTACAACTCACACAGTTTACATACTTAATAGTGAATTTTTGTATAAATGAGAAGCACCATTCTACCTCCTGTATTTGACTGCCTATGTAAACAAATCTTCTAACACACGAAATGGAATCAAACCAAGTTCATGATTTAGGTACCTTTTTTTGTTGATGGGGAAAAACCTTCAAAAGGTGCTTACCTTTTTGGGGAAAAAGACTAGGGAGTGTGGGAAACCTCACTAGAACCTAGTAACCAATCGACCAACTGGCTGTTAGAACAAACGCAATAGTGTTTCTAAGGGATGTACCAAAAAATTGTGAAATGGGTTTTCATCGATGATAAATATTTATTTAAAATTTTCCAGGGATAAAGCGCCCGCGATACCCCCAGTGATCGAGCCAATAGTTATGCCTACGACTATGGTGACATCTACAATTGATGCAGCTAAGCGGCGTCAGCTTCCAGCTTGGATTAGGGAAGGTGGGTTATTAGTGAAATAATTGCATTATGTTGATCTCGAGGCAAAACAATTGTGATTCAACACTCCTCTAGTGTTACTGGTGTCGTTGAGAGCTGATTGCTTATCAACAAGTACTCAGTCTGCTCGTTAACATGATTCCAGATTTAATGATAAAAGACAATCATGGCGAATTGGCAGTTTAAAACTTATGACTTGAAATAAAAAATCTCGTATTTCTCACAATGATATTCTCTACCATATTTCAGTCGATTCAAATGATGCCAAGTTATATCTAATGCTAATAGCTGATTGAAATTGAGAGCCTAGCTGAATTTTCTTAATTTTATTTTATTACATTCCAGGTTTAGAAAAAATGGAGCGTGAGAAGCAGAAGGCGATAGAAAGAGAGCAGGAGTTGAAGGCAAGAGAAGAAGCAGAGAAAGAAAAGAAGAGATTAGAAGAAGAGGAATTAGAACGAATGAAAGCAGAGGCTGGAGGCCAACCGGTCATGCCACCTAAGAGTAAATTCGTAAGTACCATATTATTGTAGCTTTCTGTTTCGCACAGCAAAACTGGAGAAAGCCAACGGTATTCCAACAACCTTCAAGAAAAGAGTGTACTCTTTTTTTAAAATTCCAGCAAGGCACTAACAATTCCTATGTTACTACGGGGGTCCACGGGTGACTCTGATCGCTTACCATTTGCTGTTGTATGGCATAAAAAATAACACCAAGGCTGCTGACTCTTGATGACCAGAGTAAAATTATTATTACAGACAAGAAACACATCAGCTACCTACAGAAAGTAATATGCGGATAACCCCATATTACTTTCTATAAAGACTAGAATAGACAAGTTTATGGGGAAAGCCCAGTGGCTTCTGTCAGTACAGAAGCTAGTATTATTTAAATAACGAGACGTCTTGGCAAGAATAATTATTGGCAAAGTCTTATCTAAGATATTTGAACAGGAGCAGAAAGTAGGGCAAACTAATGAAATTAGTTTATCAGTTTATTAATAGGCAATCCTCCTTTTGGCCTCTTCCCAAATAACTTTAAGGCCAGCATTGATTCTTAACCAGATATTCTAAATATATTAAAAAAATATATTCCAGATATTATAAACCAAAAGAGAAAGTTGTCTATAGGTATCAGTCTTTGGGTGCAAATTTACGGTACTTTGTTGCTCTAAAATATAATTATTTTAACTAAATAAGAACATATACTTCACGACTTTTATCCTAAAAGGGGTAGGCTGAGGTGCACATTACGGCATTTAATGACACTGTCCAAATCCCAAAGGGCCGGTAAAGCACTTGTAACGCCTCTGGTGTTCATAGGCGACGCCGATTGCTTACCATCAGGTGATTCATCTGCTCGTTTACCGGCTTATCCCATAAAAAACACTACAATGTAACACCCACTTTTCACTATTTTATAAGTCCTATGTAATAGAGGATGAGCCTATTGCTATATACCTGGCACATTTCCAGACTTCGTGCTACTGCTGAGATTTTTTGAAAAACCCAGTAATACTTTGTTTGACCCGGGAATCGAACCCGAGATGCCTTGCGCGGTAGTCGCACTTGCGACCACTCAGCCAACGAGGCAATCAAAATAAGAAATATTAAATACATACCATGAACTTAAAACAAAGCTCGAGGACTTGTATCTTGTGTTTCCCCAAGAACTGAACTGATTGAACATAACTTAATTAAATGACATGCATGTAATTTTTTATACAATAAAAAATACTACTGCTATATACACAATTATAAATATTGACTTAGTCAAGTACCATAACAGTGTGGTTTTTTTTGGGTTTCAACTGACCCGTGAAGATGAAAAAGAAACCTCTTCAACAAACAAAAAATTAATAAATTATTAATTAGGGTACAATATCTTATCTATCTGAAATAAGTTTATTATTGAAAATAATCATGAAGTATACTGTTGAACTGCCTCATTGGCCGAATGGTCGCAAGTGCGACTGCCGGGCAAGGAGTCTCGGGTTCGATTCCCGGGTCGGTCAAAGTATTACTGTTTTTTTTTTAATTCTCAGCAGTAGCACGTAGTCTGGAATTGTGCCTGGTATATGGCAATAGACTCACCCCTTATTACATGGGACTCATAACATAAATAGTGCAAAGTGGGTGTTACATTGTACAGTCGCATAATGTGCAGCTCTGCCTACCCCTTTGGGTGTTTTATAGTTAGTTACCTACTGACTTTACTGTAGGTGTTCCAAAAGTTTAATGATCCAAACTGATCTTGTTTAAATGAGAACAATATAAGCCTAACCTACTGAGTAGAACCTATATACTCTAGGTACTGAACATTATTTCAAAAAGGCATAAGTCATGAAACTAAGCAAACCAAATGAGATGCAAAATGCAATACTAATTATAAGAAGTCATTATACAAAATTCCTTATACTCCGCATACATACTTTAATACAAAATTATTTTTGTGACAGGAATCGGATTCCGAAGGTGAAGACCAGGAGAAGGAGCCAGCGTCGTCGAGTCCAGTGAAGGAGGAGCCACCGGACGAGGCCAACGCTCCGCCTGACGAGAGAGAGGAACCTCCCGCTCTCGTCAAGAGGAGTAAAGAGGAGATCATGCAAGAAGTGGTAACATACTGACGGTTGATTTACGTTGAGGTTGAGGGATGAAGAAGGGATCTTATCCCTTCCTGTTTCCCCACCTCTTTTTCTCATCCTTTCTCTCCCTTCTCTTTCTTTCTCCTTTTTTACTTCCTTCCTTCCTTTCCCTTTCTTTCTATTCCTCCTCTCCCCTTCTTTTTCTTACTTACTTGGAGTCTTAACCCCTTCAGACACAAAATGAGAAATTGATACATTCTTGTGTGAAGGGTCTTCTAATGAAAATTGCTGCATTTGATACAGTTTTAATGTCATTGATGTGAACTCTAAAATTATAAATATTCAACGGAGTGCATCAAAAGCCCATTGAAATCCGAAATCTGTTTACAGATTATGCTTACCTACCATAATTATCAAAGCGGGTTTAACAAATTACCATTAAATCTGATATTACATTACTTTTAATCACATTATCATTATAAAAATGTAATTTATGAGGTAAACATAACAATTATCATCAATTATATTACAATAATTACCATATATTCAAAAAGTATTATTTTAAAAATTTTAATGACTAAGGTGTTTATCAAACCGTGTGTTTTCTGCGAAATAATAATTACAGGAAAAGTACTATTCTTTTGGCCTAAACCATTATTAGTATTTTTCTTTAGTTATTTTTGTAGTAACTGGTCTTGTGAATAGTCACCAGAACAGTCAATTATTTCCCATCTATTATGATCGCTATGTTTTTTCATAACAGATGGGAAATAATTTTACAATTTCAGCGCAGTCAGAGTGAAGGAAAGATTAAGTATGATCGAGTCATGAAAGATGATGAATGTGTATTATATAAATCTTAAAAAACATTCACAGATGCTTGCAGTCCGTCGCTCCCTAACAGAAATCCTCCTTGAGGTGACTGACCAGGAGATTCAAACGGTGAGCCAGGAAGAATTGGCCCGATATACCGCCCTACAAGGTATTTCCACTCATCTAAGCTTATCCCAAACGGACCGACGGTCTCCGTCAAGACATTACTTTGTACCACGAGAAACTATCGCGTACTGACTCTAAATGTGATATACACTCTGTGATACACCGTCTCGTATCGAGATATAGACATAGGCTGTGAACACGAAGAACTGTGATGTGCAAAAATGTGTTATATATTATCGCTAATAAAGTCTTATTTCAGATGTTGCCAGTTTGACAATTGAATACATGTGGTGTGTGTGATTAATGTTGGTTTTATTTATATGGTAAAAGCATCGCGCCTCAACGCCATGAAGGCGAGCAAGTCGAAGGCACTGGCCGCTATCGCCAGTGGGCTCGGTGAGTTACGTTCCTATTGCCGAGCGAGCGCAAGTATCTCGCAAACTTACGCCCTGCTACTGTCCGCATCCTAATTGATCCCCAACATACTCTAAACAAGTATACAGCACCGATACACAAGATAGCAGTTTGCCAGATATTTGCGTACAAAACATAAATGGTGGTTTTTCTCTTAGTTTCGCAGAAAAACTATCAAAAATGTTTGTTGTTGAAGTCGTTTGCGAACCGCCATGTATGTTACTCCCAAGTTTCTCATTTCAGCAGCCCAGCATCATAATTAGTATTTTAGTGTTGACCTTATTGGCAATACGTTGTATCAACAGTGTTTAAATGCATTGTTTTTAGTGGATGTTTGGTAAGAAATGTACAGAATTTTTATAGATGTTATATACCTAAATATTATAATTATACAAAATACTTTTATCGGTGAATTATTTAAGGAACTTTGTTTACTGTTTGTGTGATTTGTTTCATTGGTTTCGAAGGTCGTTTCGTATTTTTTTTTTATATAAATGTACCTATATACAAGTACACTTCCCTATTATTGTAATAGATGCTTTATTCTTACTTAAGGCGGTATCTATTCTTGATTATTGATCTACAAAAAATGATACACAAACTATTGTCTTCTGTGGTTTGAAGTAGGTGGTATTGTATGTTACGTCATTAGTTATGTGTGAGTTAGGCTGGATACTATGTAGTGTGTGTGTGTGCAGGGCTGGGCGCGTACGAGAGCAGCTCCGACGACAGCGAGGAAGAGGACCAGGACGAACTTTCTGATCAACAGCTACAGGTAAATACCACATGACATAATATACCATATCTTTTAAAACCGGTAAACGAGCAGACGGATCACCTGATGGTAAGCAATCGGCGACGCCCATGGACATCTGGAACACCAGAAGAAGTGCGTTACCGGCCTTTTGGGGAATAGGAATTTGAGGATTTTCAGGGATTCAGGCATTGGGGAAGGGGGGTTGGTACTTAGGCCTCCGATAACCTCACTCATACGACGAAATACAACGCAAGCGTTTTTTCACGTCGGTTTCTTGTGAGCCCGTGGTATCACTCCGGTCGAGCCGTCCCATTCGTGCCGAAGCACAGATATCCCACACATAAATATTAAATAAGGAACTAAATAACAGCGGAGTAGCGATACCACTTGCAAGGACATGATCCCAGGTTCAATTTCCGGGTCGGGCAACATCTGTCTGCGTCTGGCATAGTATCCAGTAGGTGGTACATCTAATGAAAACTGGGTAATTTACACATTATATTAACTAAAATCGCGGGTTACTCACTTGAATATACTGAGAAAAGCACTACCGGTTTGAACCACAAAGGGGTTCGTAACTAGTAAAGCTCAAGAGCAGCGTGCGCGGTCGCAGCGATATCGGGCAGCGCCGGTTCGAGACTAATAAAGCTTTTCTCAGTATATTCACGTGAGTAACCCGCGACTTTAGTTAATTTAATATGGCTCATGATAGTTATTATAATTAACACATTATTTGGTAATAATGTTGATGCATCGCACAAACTGCACTTGTGTGATAACGATACGAATTACGCTATTGAAAAACTTGACCTTATTTAAAACAATATAATGTTACTACTTACGACGGTAAAGTACATATAATTATGTTAATTAACTTTATATTTAAGTATATACGCAGCTGCAGGATAATCTGCATTGTAAATCGTCCATTAATTTTAATTAGTAGTATGTTTTTGTTTTGCCTATTACCTACTGATAAACTTTCGGGATTTCCGTGTACATATTCCATTTACAATCGCCCCTTCCCTCATCCAATTTTTGTTTCTTCGTAGGATTTTCGACTCTATTCTAAAACTATTATGTTTCAATCTTATAGATGCCTTTTAACATCTTAAGATGTCAATGAAATGCCTGCTACGTTACATACAACACAATTTTTTAAGCTTTTTATAGGTTTATAGAATTATTAGAGAGAAACATTACCAATATTTCTTCTTGTTATCAGGATATCATCAAGCGCAAGAGGTTGGACTTCGAGCGCACTGCACGGGAGATAGAAGCTGAAGTGCGGCGTGCTGAAGCAAGAGAAGCTATTGAAGAGTCTTCCACTCCCAACAACACTACGCCGGAGAGACCAAGGCGATCACGTTAGTATTCGAATATTCTTACGTACCTATATACTTGCTTGGACTGGCTCACAAATTATCTACACGTTGCTGCATATGTATGTAAATATTTCTTCTATTACCTTTCCAGGTTCATCTGCTACACCACCACCAGACAGTGACACCCCTGACAAGTTACCTGAACGTCGCCTCTCGAAAGACAAAAGAAATCATAAGTCAGAGAAAACTGATGGAGTCAGAAAATTAGACACTATTCTAGAAGAAAAAGTTAAGAAATCAAGTAAAAGAGATCGAACACCTAGCCCCTATTCAAAATCTTCCAGTAAAGCCAACAAAGAAAGCTCTTCGTCCACCAGTGACTCTGAAGATGATTCCTCATCCAGCTCAAGCGAATCCTCGTCGGAAACTGAACAAGATTCCACAGCCCATTCTAAATCCAAGAAACGCAAACGTCGGGGCTCCAGTTCTAGTGGGTCGCGTAGAAAATCAAAGAAAGACAAACATAGAAAAGACAAATCTCACAAATCAAGCGATAGGAGTTATTCCAAGTCTAAATACTACGACGACTCCGAGAAATCCGACAAGTTTAGGTCCAAGAAAAAAGATGATTACTACGATAGACACAAATCTTCTAGGAGTAGGGACTACGACAAACATAAATATCGTGATGACTCCGAGGAGGAGCGTCCTAGGAAGCGTACGAAGCGGTCGCGTTCCATCAGCTACGAATCGCGCTCGGGGCGCAAGAAGGCATCGCGGGATCGGTCGGAAGAGCGTTCGCACAAGAGGGACAAGAGGTCATACGACAGGGATAGCTCCAAGCGGGACAGGTCTTACGACAGGTCGGGCCGAGACTACGACAAGTACGATAGGTATGAGCGGTCTAGGGACTACGACCGGCGTCGATCGCGCAGCGGCAGTCACTCCCGCCACCGCCGGTGAACATCAGGTTACACAGCGAACAGGTTGTACTTCCATCTATCTTGTAAACTTGTGTGTTCGACTTAGACAAAAGAACGATTTAATCATTATCATGCTGCTTAAGATAATGCAGTCTATATTAAGCATACTATATTTTTATTATTTTTATGTATATTATTTCTAAAACAAGTCTACCTCGAGCTATTTAGGTACTAATATAAATATTAGGATGATGTCAGAAATGTTATTAATATTTGCCTAAAATTATTCTTATCGTCCAGAATACTACATTAGAAATGTTCAGTATATTTTTGTTACAATCAGTATATACTTTGTTTATTATGTATTTTTAACTAGCATTGAACTTAATAGAGCTATATGTAATAAGGACGTATTACAAATACATATCATTTGAATAAATTAAAACATCCATCTACTTCAAAGTACATAGGGACAAATCGAATTGAACATGTAAATAAAACTTGCAAGCAGTAAATTAATAAATTTAACATCCGTGACAATATCCGGTTGTAAAATCCATTATTTATCTTTCGGTTCCATTTCGTTAGATAATAATCACGACACATTTATCATGTCCGAGACGTTTAGTACGTTACGCATTAGAACATCCGTCCTTTATCGCATGTTAGGAGCTATCAGCTTTATAATTACCGAATGCATTTCTGACATCAAAAAAAGCTATAAGGCTGTGATATATTATTTTTTAATTTTTCTCTTGCAGGTGGGAGCAATCATAAGTACGTGCAAGATGTAAATATTAGTCCCTTGTGTATATATTTTAGTGTGCACTATTATTCGCGTATAACTTTAATAAACACTTCACATTTACCTTTATTGTTTCATTTCTAAATGTTTAGTCACACCCAGTCATACGCGGTACCTTGCCATGAACCTATATAAATTTGGAGTCACCGTTACGCGACGCCTCACACAAACAATCCAAAAAGAATGAGTAGGTGCTTACCTACCTGCCTTTATTATTGCTCAAAAAAACTATTCATAATAACCAACTTCCTGGTTTCTATAGCGCAGTTCATAGCATATTTGATAACGCATTAATTTTCTTTTGCCATTATAGGGCTTATTTTTTCTTAATCATTTATATCAGATTTTTATTACCCATCTCGTATACAACCCTATGAAACAAGTCTGCCTAACCCAGTAAATTGACTAGTGCAGTTATTTAATTATAACAAAATGTTTAATTATAAAATACATAATAAAAATAAATATCCATTTAGGAAGTCATAAGTTGTCTTGCCACTGGTTATGAATTATTCGAATTGTTTTCATGGATTGGTCATGGATGGAGCGTTAAGTAATGCTCTTAGCGCATACCTATCTAATCTTATAGCCCTTGTTTGGATAGAAGGTATGTGAAACGGCAAACATTTTTGTTTTAAACTCTTTTTATAACTGACCTATTCATTGAAATAGATAGGGTACCTACCTCTATCAAGCAAAATATGAGTTGCTTGTTAATTTCATGGAATACCATTATGACGCGTTGCTTACCACCTACAAGTTATTTTCTAGGTCACAAGTTCCCCCAAAACAATACAAGTCTTTATAAAGTCAGAAAATAATGATTCTCTAATACAATATAGAATGAATATTATGTAAATCATACAAAACAAATAACTAGTGCAGTAATTGGTTCCCTAATATGAAACTACTATTATAGTTTTCCTATAGGAAAACTAATTACCTAGCTAGGAAAAATATTTAGTTTTAATTCCGGTACAAAAATAAAACTGTTATTGATTGATTTGGTATGCTATTTCGCAAAGTAACTCCTGATTCTATTAAATATGTGCAATAGAGATCTGTCATGTACTTAATGGTAATAATTCATGGTAACCGGTCACCATAATATGAGTACATACAATTGCAACACCAAGGTTGCTAATAAGTGCTTATGGAATTATTCTCTGCCATAAATTTGAAAAATCAAAATGAAACATGATAATCAAATTTAAATAATTTTTATTTAAAATTATAAATATTTCACTTTCAATCAATCTAGTTATTGCTCACTGTTTGTAATGTAGTACATCTAATTTTTATATAAAAATTAAAATCTATACAATTCAAAAGACAACATAATTTTAGTAATATACCAATTTATATTGATGACAATATTTATATGAATCACATAGGCCAGGCTAAAGATAAGAATATGAATGCATTTAATGTAAAATGACTAAAATATTTTCCATTAATGAAAATGATGTTTTTTAAAGCACCTATATACACATACATACACTCAAGATGTTGTCCAACATTGGCATAACAGTATTAAATTAAACTTAGGCCTATCACTGTCGCTAACCCAACCTCACTTACCAAATCTTTGATCACATTTATTGTATCTGAACAATGCTCCTATGAAATTATCAATACTTACACTATGGTCCAATGAAAGTTGTATAAATTCTGTTAGTCTTATTTGCCATGGCAGTAACCCATGGGTAAGACAACATGGACCAGTATATAAAACTAATTCTGGATCAGGAATGGAAGGGTACTTTAACATTAGAACATCATTTAATTCTTGTGCTGTATACTCATCTGATTCTCTATTACATATAAGTCTATCTTCAGCTATCTGGCGAATACATTGTGCTATGTATGGTTTACCATCTTTACTATCAAAAATATTTATGTACACCGTGTGGGCTTGCATGCCATTTGTGTAACCATTTAAGTCTGGCTTTCTACCCCATTTTATGCAACCTGGCACACCTTTTTTATTTCTTTCTACTTCAAGAAATAGTTTTTCTTCGTTTTCTTTTAATTCGCCTGAAAAAAAAAATAAAAAAAATTAGTAAAATAATATTTTAACACGTTCAGACCGGTGTTTACCACCGGTGGAGCACAGAGTATTTGAGGTGTACCACCAGTGGTACACGCCGGTTTGAATGTGTTAAGCGATAACAGAAAACCTGTACCTAAGGGATTTGAATATTTTCTGCCTACCATTGCAAATATAAAGTAGATATTTCATCAATCTTGTGTTATCTAATATCAAAGCATACACATCATCTTTATCTGAAACCTGTTTATGTAGTAATATGTGACATTATTTTGCATTGCTACAGTTTTTTATAGGTCTACCCTATTAAATAAAAAATATTTTTATAACAAAATTATTAAGTCTTGCTTTTTATTATCTGGTTAATGATAGGTTGATTGCTTGAGATATATGACGAGAAATCTAATAAGATAATGAATGGTCCTTCTTTCGAAGGATATTACCTGTTATATCGTAAAAGCTCACGTAAGATATCCCAGCTACGAGGCTCCATATAACCATGCGAGCCAGGTCACTGAACGAGTGGTGTTCTGTGTCCGTCAGTATCACCAAATGGTTGAGTTTCTTGGTAACTCTTGGCAAATGTTCTAATATAACTTTAATATCACTTTTAGTTACCACATTTGGAGCCAAAAAGCACTTTTTGTTCCGGAATCGGGAATAAACATTTTGAACAGCAACAAGTATATTCACAACCAAATGTACTAATATATTCAAGACCTGACGGACCGGCTGAGACAGCATGATAAAGAATTAAAAAAGGAGTAATGTGTATCCGTAGTAACAATATAATTTATTTAACCATTTTTCGGCAAAAGAAATCACAGCACAATCAGACAGATCACACGGTACAGTCAGCCGCTTTTTTCAGACAGCCAATCACGAGCTTTAGGGTGGACAGAGTGATTGCCAACGTTTAGAAAACGATTGTCATTGTCAAATACATACTGTTTTATTTTGTTTTCCACCCCAAATATAAAGCTAGCCATAAAAATGTTACTAATCTAACTAGTCAACCTTTGATTATACTATTTACAAAACGTTGCCCCACACTAGGATTTTCTCCTATGTCGTGGGTGCGTTTACAAACATACAAGTTCACATACACAATTACACCCAGACCCGAAACAACAATTTGTGGATCACACAAAGTGTTGTCCCGTGCGGGAATCAAACCCGCGACACGTTGCACGGCAGCCGGTTGCCCAACCACCGCACCACCGTGCAGTCAAACAGGTGACTTGTAACTCGACGTATTCCTCTCGGGAGGTGACATAGATATACTCTTATCATATCAGTGGGAGGTGATAATACAACTAATTTCCTACAAAACTAGCCCTGAGGTTCCTGGTCCGAACCAAAGGTGGCTAGTTTCTGAGATATTCAGCATTTTCGGGTTTGGTGAAAAAATCCCGATCGAACTACAATAAGTACTATCAATAAATAAAAAACTACTATACTACTAATAACTAGATGATAAGTAGAGTGAAGAAAACTGGGAATTTCAAAAACATCATTATTTGCGTGTATTTTCTTACGTGTATTTTTGTTTCGTTTTGTCCTGAAACGCAATGGGGGCTAACGTTTTTTTGCTCACCAGATTAGTGCAAACATTTTTTATGAAGGAGTTTTTTATCCAATCACAGCAACTGTCAAATATATAACTTCCAATGGTATGACAAGAGCCAATTCCTTATTAGACGACGATGAATAGTGTACACTAGCGCCATCTGGTGAACAAAACTAAGGTTTTTTTTAAGAGGGGAAAATCATCGAATGACTTTTCTCGCCTGGGTGAGGCGGGAGGGAGTGTCAGACTCTTATTGACTAAAAACCACCCCGTTCCTTCTCCTGCACGTCGAGCTGGAGCCCCGATTACCCGAACAAAATTACGGTAGACCCACGGCAGACACCATTCATCATATTGACCTGATGACTATTAAAATAATTATATAAATTTTATATTAATATTTTACAAAATTCATAAATTACTCATCCATAATCAAGTACACGAAACGTGTAAAATAAATGTCAAATTATTTTCTGTTCCATAGACTAGAATCGACTAAAAGATGATCAATATTCTATTTCCTTTTCCTCCCACCATCTTTGTTAGTTTCTCGTATTCTCTTTGGTTTCACTCTTTCGCTTGTCAGACTTGCCTGATAAGGTTAGTATTTCTCACATTTACAAATTTTTTGATTTATTTTAGTGAATTTCTAGGCCGAAACGTAATTTTAGTGTTAGTATTTGTGTTAATATTGGATATTGAATGGCAAAATGTGTTAATTAATCTTTCTCTGTGCGTTTTATGAAAAGTTTGTTGTAGTGCTCTTGGACCACGCCGTTGAATATTACGTTTTCATTTCAGAAGCCTTCAAAATGCAGTTGTTCATCCAAGGAGGGTCCGTCTCGGTGATAGACGTTGATGGGCAGGAGACGATAGCCCAGATCAAGGTAATTTCAAGTACTTTTCTATTTAAATTGGTCCAAATGTAACCACTTGATAATCGTGGTATTTTTTTTTACCATGATTTTGTTTCATATGTTTTTCTAATACACAACCCTTCTTAAGCCTAGTAAATGCTTTAATTGTTTACTCTTTATAGATAACTGAATGTACAATTAAATTCGCAGACATCAGTTTACGATCAAAATAATAATTTAGAGGTTATGTCGAAACAGTGAACAATTTGTTGATCGGTCACTTGACTTCATTTTTCAGGACCGCCTTCGTAGTGTAGAAAATGCTGCGAATGATGAGCATCTGACCGTGTGGGTCAACGGAGTCGCTGTTGAAGATTCCTGCTTGGCTTCAGAATTAGCTTCCGACCATCTTGATATCACAGTATCACTTCCTGGTGGTAAAGTCCACGGTTCCCTGGCTCGTGCTGGTAAGCAAATTGATTTAATTGATTATAGGTATTTCTTTCATTTGCAAGAGACATTCATATTGTGATTCTTAGTTTTGTCCTAGAGTGAACAACATCTCTATGTACATATTTGAAAATATCTAGTAAATATTGGTTTCGGAATACTGTTTGGATTGTACGCATACACCTGTTTCAAAGAGTTAGATTAGTCCCAGTACTTAATTCCTAATTATTATTGATAGATAGTTTTTATTTAGCTCTATGGTTGTCAATAAAGTTGCTGAGATTGTTAACATATTACTACATCTTAAAGAAAACTATAATTTAAATAATTTTAATTATCAATCTGATTTTCTCTTCTCTGTTGCTTCGCTCTTGGCAGAGCAGTCGTGGTCATATTGAGGCGGCCGTATTTGTGTTGGAGGCCGATACAGCTTTCCTCATGATCTCCCGCCATGTCTTTCTGTTTGTGTATCATCTGACACTGGGTTTCCCATTGCCGATTTGACTTTATCAGTCCAGCACATAGGTGATCTGCCTTGTTATCTGGTTCTCTCTAGCCTCCCCTGATTTTAGAGAGATAGTATTATCTAATAATTTACTAAGAATCAATCTAGTGATCAAGTTATTTCATCATAATTTATTAGTAATATCTATAGAAACATTTAATACATTTAACTGTAGATAATGAAATATTTACTTTACATTCTAAATGGATAATGTCAACCAAGTTGTAAAAATATTAGCTTTGAAGCATTATCTATATACATTAAACTTAGTATCCAGCATTATACTTAAAAGGACTCTTGATCAGCAAACTTGTTCTTACATATGCGTAATATTTGATGTTATAAGTACCTAGATAATAAGAGAAATAAAATGGGCCAAGAATTGACCCCTGTGAAACACCCATCTCAACAAGAAATCTTGTTAGAAATTTTTCATTTACCTCAACTCTAAGAACCATGTTACTCAAGTATGATTTAAATAAGTCTAAAGGGGCACTTTGCATTCTGTAGTAGGATAGCATTCTCATCAATGTATGATGAAGAACACTATCAAAGGCCTTAGATAAATTACAAAATATTTCCAAAGCAGTTTTTATTCTCATTAATTTTAAGAGGCCACTAAATAGGAGGAAGTTACCATCTATTCTGCCTTGCAAAAGTTACATACTTTATTTATTTACATGATGAACCAATTTCCAGACCTTTGACAATTCTCACTGAGATAACAACTAATTGCTTGTGTAGTTAAGTCTGTGGGTTATTGTTTAGCCTGAAGCTGATTTAAGGGTACAAATACTAGCTTTTCCTGCAATAAACTTTATAAAAGATTAGTTCGAATAAAGGTATATAAATACATGTAACTCAATCTACTCTTTTTTTTACAGGTAAGGTTAAGGGGCAAACCCCAAAAGTGGAAAAACAACAGAAGAAAAAGAAGAAGACCGGACGTGCCAAGCGCCGAATTCAGTACAACAGACGGTAAATATTTATTGATCCTTATAAGCCCAATCAACTTGAATTACCAATCCTCAATTTCATGATATACAATACATAATTTATGAATTTGATTGTTGCTGCTGTATTTATACCATGTTTTAATCGTAGTTCGCGAATGAGAAATTGTCAGTAATATTACTTGTACATTTATTTTCACCAACTAAAACTTGTTTCAAACCTACCTATGGGATGGGAAGATGGCTGCGATCACTGATTTTAGGCAAATTTTATACACAGAATAATAGTCTATTCTTTCTACGTTTCTGTTCAAGCTAATTAATCTCCTAGTATACTGGCTGGCTATACAAACAGATAATTAAGCTGTTACAATTAAACAACTTTTTGTGGCTTTCTATGCTATCCCTTTTATTTAGTTTTGCTATTGATATTAAGTATGTTGTCATATCAATACAAAAGCAAATGGTCATAAGTAGTTTCAAGAACTTATATAGCAATTAATAATTTCCTTAAAATATGAGCCGGTTGAGACACTCGAGATAACAATTTACATAATGTATATATATTTACGTGTACTATGTTTTTTATTTACAGATTCGTTAACGTTGTGCAGACATTTGGACGCAGACGCGGACCCAACTCCAACTCATAGACATGTTTTGTAAATAAAATGCAAATATAACATCTTTTTGCGCCAATATTTGTTTTACTAAAATAACCTATCTACTAACTCTTTATGAGGCTGGGTTGAATTAACAAATTCTTTGTGTCAATATCAAAATTCACAATATCTCAATAAGTAGAGGTCGTAGCCAAAAAATTACGATAATTTTGAACACACCTAGGTGGCCACCGCAAGTGCGACTGCCGGGCAAGAAGTCTCGGGTTCGATTCCCGGGTCGGACAAAGAATTACTGGGTTTGTAAAAACCTTAGTAGTAGCACGGAGTCTGGAAATGTGCCCGGTATATGGCAATAGGCTCACCCCCTATTACATGGGACTCGTAACATAAATAGTAAAAAGTGGGTGTTACATTGTACAGTGGCATTAAGTGCCGTAATGTGCACCTGTGCCTACCCCTTCGGGGATAAAAGGCGTGATGTTATGTATGTTGATGGAGTGTTCGTTCACAAAAAGCTTCCCAAAGATTTACAGTGACCTGTTCGCTGCAATGCACTTTCCAGTCATGTAGTACCAATCGTGTCACATAGGCGTCACTACGTGCATGCACGCTATAAAATAAACAAAAAAAGTAACTACACTGCAAAGATGGTCCCGTGGACTTAGTGCCGCAGGCAATTTATCTCCCAGTCTGACCCTTTGGTGATGCAGAAAAAGTAATCAGCGGGTGCAAGAGCATGCGTTGAATTTAACTATTTAAAAGAACACACATAATTCGACATATATGTAGGTACACAAATATATATCTCAGTGTTGCCAATTTATTTTTCAATATTCCCTTTTCATCAGTCTCTTAATAAGAGAAATTTAAAAAAAAAATCTCGCTTGTAAATTAAAAATCACTACATAGTACCTATAAAACAAAGTTGCTATCCGCCGTCTGTCTGTCCCTAGTCCCTATGAATGCTTAGATCTTTAAAACTATGCAACGGATTTTATGGTGGTGGTATGTATGGTCGTATGGTGACGCTCTATCTAGCCAATAGGTATATAAAATCAAAGGTTTTAACAAATCTTTGTATTGTAGTTACCATTATCAAATATCTAGATTTGGTGAAAAAGTAACCACATTAACGACCAGTTATTTTGGATAAAGACTAGTTATTAATTGTATATGTGCATCTCTAGCTATCTCATAAAAAAGTATAAGGAAGATATGTTGAAGGGAAGGTATGTTGTAACGTTGAATTCAATTTACTATCTCGTACCTACCAAGCCGCAAGTAGGTACTTGCATTCTGCCCAGTCAGTCAGGAACATCCTAGTAGGCTTTTAAATATTTAGGTACTTACGGACTAACCTACCTCCTACATATAGTTAAGTAAGGTTAACGATTAGGTATATATTGTATACCAGGGGTGGCCAACCGTCGATAGCGACCATTAGAGTAATAATTTAAATAGTACAGTCGATCGTAGCAGTATAATTACCTATGTAGGTAAGTACACTATGATATTTCATGAATTATGGAAGTGGTACATCGCATAGGGCTTCGTTAAAAAGTAGATCTTATGACTAATCTAGACACCACTGACAAACGGTGAAGGAAAACATCGTGAGGAAACCTGCGGGCTTATATAATTTCTAATTTTAAGTTTATAATGGCTAACCCGCATTGAGCAAGCGTGGTGATTAATGCTGAAACGTTCTCCGTGTGAGAAAAGGCTTTGCTCAGCATTGGGCACTTATAAGTAGGCTGTTGATGATGACTAATCAAGTTGGCCACCTCTGTTCAGGATTGTGGTAAAAATAAAACGATGTAAACGTTTATTTGGCAAATATCGTGTATTTCAAAAGGGCCAAGGAAGACTATAGTGTATACACACTATTTGTCATAAAACAGTTATTAAATGGACACATTTCAATTGACAATTTGTACGTTGTCATGATTTACGGCAAGACAATAGTCCATACGCGTTCTTATTGATAATTCCTTAAATAATGTTACTCTATATGGCACTGTGGCATCGATAAATAAAAAAAACAACTCAAAAATCATAGTCACCATCACAAAATCTCACAAATTCTTATTTATTTATAAACAACATTGTACTTTTGGAAGTACTCGGTCCTTTACAAAATGGAAGGAATAGTTAAGTACGTGTATAAGTACCTAAGTATATTCGCATCATAACAAATTCATGTGATTATACACAAAAATGTATATCTACGAAACTAGGTATAATCATAATCTATGATTGCACTAAATAAAATCCATTGCCACAAAAATGGGCAGACCAAACAATAATTTGATATGTAGGTAAAGTTTCCCAACATTTAAGATTCGAAATTTAATGACTATGATTTCTTAATTAGGTACACAATTTAAGCATATACATACGCTAGAAGACCACAGCCACAGTAATAGTCCTTAAACTAAATAAAATACGTTAGTAACATATTACCTACAATCATTGCATGTACTTATTGTGCAATTATTTTGGAAAAATATTACCAATTTATTTACAATAAAACATCTTCAATAATAACAATAACTATCGAGAGTTTAATTGGTTTACGTAAATAGAAATATTTCCAGATAAATAAAGTTAGTTCACACGATAAGGCACGATTGCTAAAAATTTCAACCCTTCATTCTTTCGTCATCAGTCGTCACATATTTAGTACCTAAGTACCTACTGATTAACAGTAAACTATTAAAACGAATTAATCTATACAATAGTAGTCTTATATTATGCACCACTTACGCCTGGAACACTGAAACACTACTCAATTTTAAGTTGCGATTTAGTCAAAGTCTCTCGGCCACTTTTCTGTAGTGACAGAACACAAAATTAACGTAACATCATTACATGGAATACATGGTGCCAGCAGGATTTAAAATACCTCAATTTTAAGACAGAAATAATATTAAAATTCTCGAACCCTTTTACCTAACTCCCAAAAATATTTGAAGATTAGATAATGGACAGCAGATTAATGGAGTTCTTACAACAGGATTATAGCCCTATTTACAATAGGCTATATACAAAAGGCGAGGTATTTATCAGGCTTATTTTAAATTCCTATATGAAGAGACGTTAGATAAAAATTCTTTCTCTAAAAATAGTTCTGCCGGCACCCATGCATCATTGAGAGGCGTTTGAGTATTTGGGCATTAGAATAACTAGGCACACGCAACATTATCTAATTAAATGTAACACAACTAAAATTTAAAGTATATTTTGGCTTCAGATCTCCTTCAATGGGCCCTAATTGAGACAAAACTGCGAAACTATAATATGTATATTTCGAGTCTTTGTACTTTTAAAACCTCTAAACCTATTTTAAATGCATTTATCTGACTTAATCGAATTATTGCAAAAGCAAATAACTCTTGCAGTTTTGACAAAGATTTAAGGACTGGTCAAAGGATACAAAAACTCAATACGGATGGGAACATAATCATGTAAGGTCTGTAGGAAGAGTGTCTACAAGTTTCCTTCATTTTTTCTTCGTTCAAAAAATATCTCGTTGCATGCAAGGTTCACTGGATTTGGCCAATCCTTAACTATGGGAATGTATCTAATTGATAATTTCGTATTCGAGGTACATATTTAGGACTGTAAACATTAATTAAATTATTCATTACATGTAACTTGATCTCTCCAAATTTTACCGATACAACTAAAATAACACTAGTACATTTTGTAAATAAATGTAGAATAAAAAATCCGAGTCTTACAGAATATTAATTTCCATATTCATGAACGAATGCGCCAAGGCAATGTTAAACCATTACAATGGCGGCGAGTGCATTCACTTACATTTAAGGTCATTCATGAATACGGGAATAAGGCTGGTATTCACACTATGCAGATACATAATTTATTATTCATCACATGCATTAGTGCACACTCATTCTTCGGCAGACGGTACATTTGAATGCCAGCTACCTATGCTTCGTTCACACACTCATCCGGCAGCTACCAAACTGCTTGAACTATTTTTCAATAGAGTCCATTTGGCACCAATGTGTTGTCCGCAACAATTTGTCTCTTCGGTTATACTTTGTCGACTAAACTTGTTGGGACAGTGCTCTTCAACTTCTCATTCTCTTCAGCGCGTTTCTTCTCCCACTTGCTAATCCTATTGATAGGATAGCACATAACTGCTGATAGGAGTATAAATGCCCCGGATACATAGAATGATATAGCATAGCTTTTTGTGGCATCGTACAGCATTCCTGTGAAAAACAAAAACATATTTTAATAGGTCGGTACAATGAAATCTCCTAATGGTGCATAATTAATCATAATAATCAGTAAAAATAGAAGCACTATGGAAACATTTACAATTGACCCACATCATAAAATACTTCCATTAAAAAGTTTTTATTGGACTATTACTAGTCTGTTAACTGAATTTAATAACTATGCGGGCGCTATCGTTTACTATCGAAGGTCAGAATTTTACAAAGAACTGCTGCATGAGATCGAAGCAAAACTTATTGAATAAATATTGATCTTTTAACCACAATAAATATAAAAATCTTACCAGCAATTGGTGAACCTATTAAAGCACCAATTCCTTGGAAGAGGAGGAAAAGGCCAAAGCAGTTGGTCAATCTTTCGAGTCCAAGGAATTCAACAACGACGATGGAACGCAGAGCAGCGAAGCAAGCTGAAAATAAATTGAATGTTACTTGACTGAAATATAAAATACAAAAATAAAGATAATGAGTACCTACAAGAATCGGTGGAATAGTAGAAAATATAAATAAGAATTTAATAAATAAAAGAAGTCAATATTCCTAGCTCAACAAAATATCAAAAGTTTGAACTTACCCACAGAAAGACCGAATATGACGCAGTATCCGTACTGGAAGTAGGTGTCGAAGCACAAGTTACTAAGCATTGTAGCAAGACCGCCCATGGTGAGAGCAATGTTGGTGACCAACAACGGGGACACCTTTGGCATGGATGACACCAGTCCACATACCAATCGTCCAACAATGTTTGCTACTCCAATCGAAGACACCAACCATTCAATAGCCTCGGGGGGTACATCATTTTCACGTGCTCTATTTTGCACGTACACGAAGGGCACAAAGAAACCAGTCATTGTGAAGAAACCACTGAGAGCCAGAATCACGAAAGTCACAGACTTGAATAGGCTGACGTCCAAGAGGGTGGCCAAAGCTCTGCGCACGGCTACTGGGCAAATTCGGCATTTCTTTGTTTCTTCTTCCTTTGCGTCTTCAGGTGACGGTACGTGGGTAACAGCCAAATGGTATCCAAGAGATGTTCGTGACGTATATTGAGGAAGTCTGGCCAAACTAGCTCCGAAGAAGATGTCTTCACGGTATAGGGGTCTGGCAACCAAATCAGCTGTTGAGCGGCGTTGCTGACTGAAGTCGTTGCGAGACATGACTCGAAGTACTGATCCAATCAAAGGTTGAGTTGCCTTGTCAGGAGTAGTGTTAGAGTCTTCTTGTTCGTCTTTTTCGCTGACCGTGGCATAAACGGGTTTAGGTCCCAGATTACTTTTAATCGTTCCTGCAGTAGCGGAGGATCGTCGCTGACCATTTATGTATGTACTGCTCCCACGGAAGACCTCTTCTGCTGTGGGGTAACGCGTGTTATTAGAAACGCCCATCCATGTGTGGGGGCTGGATTTGGTTGCGAATTTCATGTCAGGTGGCATTCTTATGCCGGAGTCGAGTCTGTTTTCGAGTTTCATCATGTTTTTCTCCGCTAACTTCTCCGCCGCCATTTTTTTACGTTCCGCTTCATCTTCTTCAGATGTCGCGGCTTCTTCTTCTACTACAACATGTACTGGCTCGATTGGTTTGAAGGTTAATCCAAAAAGGATACACAGCAACATCATACCTGAAAATAGATGTTACAATATTAGAACTGGGATAATAGCATTTTTCCTTATCATTGAAGTAGACAACTTACAAATGTGACAAATTAATTCAATATCTCACCGGACTGACTGAAGATTGTCATTCTCCAACCATAATTATCAACAAGTGACTTGGTGATGGGCGACATGACAAAGACTCCAACTCCTGAGCCGCAGAGAGCTATTCCTGTGGCGAGAGCCCTCCATTTCTCGAAGTAGAATCCGACGGTCAGTACAGCCGGCATGAATATCAGACATACTCCAAATCCTAAAAAAACAAAAAACTTGTTTTAGTGTGTCTCAAAGACGGATACCAGTCAGACACTTCATAAAGGATGCTTTATGGATTTTAGTCCCATGAGAAGTTATAACTCGCGACCTATAAGGTACGGTGATAGTTAAATATTAATATCTTTCACGATCCTTACCTCCGATTACTCCATAAGTAACGTACAGATATTGAGGACTAGTGGCGTAGTAGGAGATAGCGAAGCCAGCTGCGGATATCAAACTCCCTAGGATAGTCACCTTTCGGAATCCGTATCTGCAAAATAAATAACATTAGTTTAAAATCCCTTTCTAGCTACAAAACCAGTGATTCGTTAGGAACAGTTTCTATTTTAAAGTTTGTTTATTTTGAGTTTCAAGTTTCTTCTGACTTACAGATTAATGACGCTGTTAGCTAGTTTTATTGTTTTAACAGTTGCAATAAAGAGGCCTTTTTGATTTTATTTACCAGTAAACCTACATAAGAAATTGTGTCAGAGGAAGTTATTTTATATCTGTTCAATGAATTAAAACTCACTTGTTTGCCAAGGCCGAGGCAATAGGTCCAAGAAGAAGGTAAAATCCAGCAAGCAAGGAGTTGATCGGAGCCACTTCGATTTCAGTCGCCTGTAAAGAAAAAAGAAAATGGTTCAATATAATTATAAATAATATCTATTAGATTCATTATTGTAACGAAAATTTCAGTTAAATAAATTAAATCAGCTTTTACGAGCAAGTAATTAAAACGAAGTCTAAAACAATTACACTTCAGTCGCAATTCATATTGAACTCTATCCTTGACATAAATGACACAGAATTATTTGGCACGTTATTGTTAGAACTAGCTAGCTTAAAATATATTATATTCTAGAACCGTATTTCGTATAGGTCATATCAACCCACATATAATTTGTGCGAAATTCTAAACCAACATGTAAGTTTAAAGAAATTACAATAATAATTACCGTTTACCGTTAATATGTAAATTATTCGCAAACACTACAGGAAGTAACCGCTAAGGATATTGGCGATGAATACTTAATATGACAAATTCCCACAGCAGTCATTCAAGGCAGCTTACTCGAAGATATTGTACAAAATAACTTCAATAAAAATGTTAGTGTTGCATTGATTAGTGTTTATGCAGGTTGAATGGACACGGTCGCATAAAGCAGTCAATGTACACGTATCACCGCTTTCAAATCGTTACAAATGAATGATTCGAGTGCGATGTGGAACTTGGAAGTAAATCGTTGACTTCCCGTCGCCAAATAGCGAATAAGTTTACGTCGTCATTTATAAGCTTCACTGCGTTCTTATTTCGTAAGTCCTAAGAGCTATTATCGTTGTGTTCATTTGAGCTTGAGCATACTCTGATCGAGTGGCCCACTGGCCTTCTTGTGCGACAGACATGTGACAGATGTACGATCTATGCACTTTTAATTTTAATTAAAGTGACATTTAAATGGATAGCTGTGGTTGCGTCTTGTTAGCCCAGTTTAGAGTATAGGTATGTACTCAGAATATCAGATTCACTTGTAAATACTTCCGCTTGAGAATATTAGAACATAACACAATCAAACAACCTGTTTTTTCCGGTTGACACAAGATTAGTAAAACGCTTTCTGCATTCTAGAGCACGCAGTGCAAAAAATCCAAATAAAAAAGCGAGGTGATCGTCCGCTAAAATTGCAATCAACAGAATAAGTTTATACAAATCACAAGTTGAATTTCGGATCTCGACGCATACCGCCATGAGAAAATGACGGGGAATTTCCGAACATCGAATTCTAAGGTAATTTTCCTCAAAGATATCTAACATTTCAAGATATTCGGACATTAAGACATCTCATTTGTGTATGTAACTGTGTATAAGGTAAACACAAGTTAGCTACACGGGAAAACTAAGTACCGTAGCTCTTTACAGCGTCTAGGCACGTTCATTTAGTTAGTCTGTGTGGTCCTATTTGCTTAAACAAGATGCATAGGCTTCTCAGGCGTGCGACTCTGAATGTCAGCATAACGGTGCAGTGAGCTTATGTTATAGATATTGAATTACAACGAGGCCCTTAGTCCAAAGGGCATTGTACTTACTTTTAAGTACATGGCTACTGTTACAGTTGCGTATTAAGGTATTTAGTTACAACTATTAGATACGTTTTGTAAACCAATCTCAAGTGTTATTGTTTACAAAACAATGATATCTACTTTCATTCATATCTGTATAAAATAAATACGAATTATTCATCCTTCATTCATAATCGCACAGCAATTTGGTAATCAGACTTATAATTATATAAACAGTTGCAACAAAGTCGCAAAACCAAGAGATCGTTAGTTAGTTCAAAGCATAACTCATAACAATCAATAACAGCCTTTCTAAACTAAAGTCTATATTGGAAAAGTACCAGCCAATAACAATAATAGACTATCAAAAAGTATAATAAAGGACATTGTTACAAGTTCAACCATTAGCTGAACGTGATTGAAATGACCTAGCCATGCTAAGTGCTTTAGTTCTTTATTACTTTGACTAGATAACCCCCTAGGCACAAACTATCAAGCTATATTGTTGTATGGATAAAGTTTAAGCTGGTTTAAACTGCCCTCGTGTTGCGGGTGCTCATGGGCGGTGGTAATTGCTTACCATCAGGTTCCGTTTACCACCCTTTCCCATAGTCCAGGTTTTGTAAATCTCTTCGTACTCGTGTGGAGTTTTGTCATCCGTCTGTGAGTACCTAATTGTCCCGCTACAGGGCTTACATCAAGAAGGAATGAGCTTTATATCAAGTTTGTTGAAGATAAGATGGATAACGATCAGTTATATAGTATTTGAAACAATATCTTAAGAAAATAAAGATCACGTTTTGTCAGTATCTTTCCATAGATATCTATTCTTGTAGAATAGGGTGGAAATAAGCAAATGACTATCACCCACCTGATAGATCAAACGCCTTATCATTTAAAACTTCTTAAGTTATCTTAAAAAATATGTATTCGTATATAGTAAGCCCGGCTCCGCACGGGTGCAATATTGCACCCTTCTTTAAACCTTCCATAAGAATCACTCTATCTATTAATTAAAACAAACCGCATCAAAATCCATTGCGTAGTTTTAAAGATTTAAGCATACATAGGTACAGACAGACGGCGAATAACGACTTTGTTTTATACTACAGTTATAGTAAATTATGGATATAATACATATTCAGGTAATTCAGGGCTAGTGCGTAATAAGCTAAGTTTAATTGGCCAAGGTAAGAAACATCGCAGCTCCAGTCTATATTTAGTAAGATTATATAGTTTCTAGCAATTACAGTTCATGCGATATAATTAGTTAGACTTCATAGTGGTTTATTTTCTCTTCGGCTATTTTTAACATTATCTCGATGTTCTAGTATTTGAAGATTAATGGTAAGTAAGCAAGTCATGTACGTAATTTTAATGGATTGAGTTCTATTGGGTACCTACTATGAATTTGGAAAATGAAAGCCCTTATTTAAAACGTAGCTAGAACCATTATGTTAATCTAGTGTGGCTTGTCCCCTTTTTTACAAACTCAATTCAAAATATTCTGTACTAGCGACCCGCCCCGGCTTCGCACGGGTTCAATATGCATATATTAAACATATATGATGTCGTGGTGCCCGGAGGTTTAAGACGCTGGCTTCTCATGCATGAGAATGCGGGTTCGAAACCTACCAACGGCAAGTACCAATGTCACTTTTTCCGAGTTATATGTACTTTCTGAGATTATTTAGACACCACTGACAAACGGTGAAGGAAAACATCGTGAGGAAACCTGGGCTTATAATTTCTAATTATAAGTTTGTAATCGCCAACCCGCATTGAGCAAGCGTGGTGATTAATGCTCAAACCTTCTCCGTGTGAGAAGAGGCTTTGCTCAGCAGTGGGCATTTATAGGCTGTTGATGATGATGAAACATATAAACCTTCCCTAAGAATCCTTTTATCTATTAAAAAACCGCATCAAAATCAGTTGCGTAGTTTTAAAGATCTAAGCATACATAGGGATAGACAGACAGCGGATAGCGTCTTCGTTTTATACTATGTAGTGATAACCCCCTTTTTTAATGAATACCACAATAAAAAATAATTTAGAACTGTGCCTTAAACATAACCTTACGGAATTTTACAAACGAAAGTTTCGCCTGCACCCGTGCGCGCGGACTTATCGCGTCGAACGTATCACAACGAGGTGGCGCTTACGCACTTTGCCATTACGTCGCCGTCGCCCGTATAATCACTGGCATTCTATCAAATACATTGTATATTTTGAACCTTAAGCGTATTGATATAGAGATACTAATGTCTGATGTACAAACAAGAGACGCAAATTGTTGTTGTTTTCCTAACTGTAAAGCGGTTGACGCTAACTTGCATACTTGACCCTGCTATTACCAATGCAAAATTGTAGACTTCTATGTGACTAGGAAGACTTTGTTTTGAAACTAGCTTCTTGTCCCTAACATTGTTTACCCGACTTGTGACGAGGGTAATGTTTGTCAATAATGTGAACAGATTATACATAGATATTAAGTACTTATGTTTATATTTTGAACAAGTTCTATGTTGACTACCTCGTCAAACGAGTGTTTTCTAGTACGAATACTAAGCATTGGGTTTAATTCCCGGGTTAGGCAAAGAATTCGTGAGTATTTTCCTCCTCTGCTTATATACTTCGTACCATTGACCGCTTCTACTATTGTGTAACACTGCAGTATTACAAAATATAGCTAAAAAAATATTTGTTTTGCTCAAAAAATTTGGCAGTTTCCCAGCGATTGCGTTCACACGTGGACTGATCTATTTATTTTCATACGCGTTGCGTTATCAGACGAAGTTTATTTCGATTACATAACAAGGCAGACAAAACAAGAAAATAATTTCTTCTCATAAAAAGTTTAAAACAGAGCATAATTCCTTCAAAATCTTGTCATTCTTTTTTGGAAGAGTTACACAATAGGTGCACATTTTGTTTCACCCATTTTTGCCAATTGTAATTCCCAAGGGGGCTAATCAATAATCTCATGCCGAACTTAAGTCTTATCTAAAGTCTGAATTCTCTTACTGAATAATCCAAAAATAGAAAAATCTAACCGTATTTGCCCGACCGAATCCAACCTGAAACCATTTACTCAGCTCAGGCGCTTGCGACCACTCAACGAACGAGTTTAAAAAATGCATTCAATGAATCGATCCCTACCAAACCATTCGCTAATCGATAAACTGCATTCAATTCGATTTGATCCGAAACGTAGGACATTAAAAATGCAACCTGTTTTGTTAAATGGCGTCTCGAGGCCGAGATCGTTCGTTGACCCCGCACTGTTATGTGGGAACTTTATGTACTTTAGTATTGCAAGGGTTAGTGCACTTGCGATAGTGGAAAACTTTTAATAGAGCTGTTCTACTGGACTCGACTACACATTCATCATGTCACTAGAGAATGCGACAAGCTATTCCGACGATTTGTTTCTTGTTTGCTTCTCAAATTGGATATTGGGAATTAGCTTTAAGGTTTTACAGTTGGAAAGCACTCACTAGATCACTTTGAAATACGTTAATAATAGATAGAATAAATCATAGTAGTCAAATTTTGAAAGACTTGGTTGCAGGATACCGAATTGAAACCGTCATGTACATAAGCAATGCAACAGCAATTGGGTACTTCCCTTAATAAAAAATAAATTGTTTCGATTGTTCAATAAAATAAAATATTAAAAAAAATAATTACACTTACATTCAATGATTTTATGACCAACTTAATTTTAGTATTTTTCTAGCAATTTTTAAAGAAATAAGTATGATGTTTGACAATAAAAAACCGTGACGTCACAATACATAATTGCGTGTAAAATTCATTGAAAACTGTCGTTTTTGACAGTTTGAAAAAAGTATTGAATTTGACAAGTTGGCAAGTACCCAATTGTAACATAGGTAATAAAGACTAAATAAGGAGATTTGCAACCCTTCTTATGTAGGTAGAGGACGCCCATAGTAAGTATAGCAGTGGATATCAAGGGCTGTGACAAATGATATTATTGTCATCGTATCATTCGGAAATCCGGTAACCGACAAAAAAGGCACAACGGACAACCCTAGATAATACTGTTCGCGGCAAATTCCATTAGCTGGTCTCGATTTGACATCGAACTGGTGTAAATTGTGTAATGAATTGCCTTCAGACCGAGTGCGGGCTTCTGTGACGTACACAGAATACTAACATGATTTATGGAGCTGTTGACTTTTAATAATAGAAGTGCTTTAGATAGTCGTTTAGTGGTTAACGCACACCCCCTATTATTAATTAATAGGTCAAATAAATGTTGGTGCAGTTTAAACACATTTCTCGGCAATGATTTTGATGTAGGTAGTGTAGAATACACTTCTTTTTCTTTATAAAAAATTATCTATGGCAAGCTAAGGGTTGAATCGTAGACCAGTTGAAACGAGTGAAGAATTTAAATGTTGGAAGAACAGAGGACAATCAAGAATGAATCAAATTATACAAGAGGAATTCGGGACCAAAATTAAGCTGGAATGGATTTCGGAAAAAACAAGGCTAAAGTACAAACCCCAAACATAACATCAAACTTCGTCCAATAAAACCATTAAACTAATGGAAATGCCCACAAATAAGTACTTTAAGTGCAATAAATGTACCAACATAGATTGAATGAGTGACTGAATGAATGGATCGTTGTAATGAAGCCTTGGCCTTAACATTATGATAATTTTATTGTCCAATACTAGGTACATTGAGACGGTCAAGACGTAATTCACTGTAAAACCACAATTAGATAAGTAAGTATCGGATCAAAGTAACTTTGGTGAGAAGGGACTGTTCACTTGTGATACAAAGTAAATCATTTATGATGAGAAATTATTTTTCTTCTATTGGAACAAAGCTTGCGCCGTGCGTAGGGGTAAGTGAATGCCGTAAGTTTAAGACCTGCTATTTATTTAACACCAACGGTATCACAAGTGCATTTATTTTGGTTGTGATCTATGTAGGAAACTAGATACTTAATTACATCTTGCAACATAGAAACAGTATCGCGCATCCTAAAAACAGCAATTTACAAGAAACTAAAATAAACCAATACGAATTTAAAAGAGGTCAGTAGAAGAGGTCATTTGTTTTGCTTATAAACAAAAACTAAAAAAGAAACATCTCTTATAATAATCTTTAAATTTGGTACAAAATCGAAAGCATTGAAATGAAATGATGTCCAGGGAAAACCCCAACAGTACCGTATGATATTTCGATAAAAAGAATTCAAAATAACCAGTTTCGTCCAGTTTTAGTCAGACTTGGTATTCTAGTCACTTTGTAGTGTTTTCGTTTTAGATTTTTAATTTGAGTAGAGTTGATACTTAGGTCTTGTGTTAGGCGTTACACCGAAGTTTGTTAAACGAATTCTATGCAGTCAAATACCACTCTGACTGTTGACAGTAGCAATTTTATGTTTCGAAAAAAGACGAAACATCAAGATCTGTATTGGCTTCCCACATCGGTGTAGCAGTAGATGACGATATCGACAACAAAAGTAACTTCCGCATTCAATATTCAATATTTTTAGAATAAATAAATAACTTTTTCTCAGAGCATTTCAATAAAATATTCTGCATCAGCGATTCAACCTGAATTATCTTTAATTGATGCGTCAAGACGGCGCCATTAAAAAATTGCGTCGAATTCTCAGGTATCCTCATAATAAGCGTAAAAAACCATAATAAATTTGCAATTTCACTCTTATGTCAAAACTCGTAAGGTAGGTAATAGCGAATCAAAACTTCATAATACTACAAGTTTTTCTACCTCTAGTAAGCATAATTTCGAATGAACTGTTGAAAGCCAATTTTTTTTCTGACACTAATTACATTGTCGCTATTTTTTACACGCAATAAATTGTATACCTCAACATTTTTTGTTTGTTAATTAAGTCAATTTATTTAATTCATATATTAAAATTAATCATCAAAATAGAATGTAAACTGTACACTGCATCAATTTTGATTTTAAGTCAAAACGAGACTTGAATGAAAGAAAAAAGCGCCAAGTGCAGCAGTGCAAAGCCGGGCCACTCCGCTAGTTCCAACCAAAAACACGTGATTCTAAAGCTATATGTAGCACGATGACCCGACATGTGCTGGCTGATATGACATTAGATTTCACACTCGCTCGATAATCATCAGTATTCGTTTTCTTAGCGACCCACTTCAGCTAGAAGTAACCTTGGCGACCTCCACGAGTAGGATATGTCATTTTTGTCATTCTTCATATTTTTTATTGATCCTAATATTAGCTTTTACTACCATAAGAATTTAATTATGTTTGTCTCAATTTACTCTAGATTTCTAAAAACTTAAATACAGTTAATTAAAGTTGCGTCTCAACATAAAAGTGAAGAAATAAGTTTTCATTGTAACACTAATAAGAAAGTTCATAACAAAGAAAGCAATAATTACAGTAACAATGCGTGAGAGATTAAACTTCAACAGGATATGAGTGCACAACAACACCAGACATCTGGTAACACTAACACAGTTCAAAACGAAGTGACCAAAATAGCAAGAGCTGTCATTATTGGCGGTGTTATTAAAGTTTTGTATTATTCTAAGGATCTATTGATATTGGTTATATAGTTGAGTTATAAAACGGAATACGGAGGCATGGCACTGACGCAATGCTTAGTGTGTAATAATACTGCTCATGTGAGGGTGTGGACGACAGAAATAGAAGCGCACGAGACTTCCATCCGTTGGCGTCTAGCAATAATTTTTTAAAGCTTTTTGCAGTGTAGCTAGCCAATGTTATACAGGAGGATAATAAATTTTCCGTTTTATTCTTCGTACAATACAGTGTGGGTTGGATCTATTTAAGCCATCGATGTATTTAACCTGCACTACGTATAATATTGAAGATCTAGAGGACTTCTAGTTTATAGACGTCGATCTTTTTCTAAAGAGACCATCTCTGGCAAATAATCCCACACCATTTGTTTTTTTTTTTTAATTTAAATAGTTTTAAACTTACATTAAATTCTTTTCTAATGGCTGGAAGTATGGCTCCATTGGATAAGATAACTCCGTCCACCATGAAATTGCAGCAGAAGGATGCAATCATGACGACCCATCCCCAACCGCCATCTGGAGGTACGACCTGAAAAGAGAATACAAGTAATAAAGAATGATTTGATCGAGAAAGAAAGATAAAATGAATAAATGAATGAAGAAGAAGGAGATATAAATAGAAGAGTTGATTATATCGTTATACTTGACCAAATGGAATCAATAAATTAAAGTCTTCTTCCATTTAGAGTATTATTTAGATACCTACGCTTTATTCCGCTGTAAAATTACTACCAAAACAAATAGTTGATGTTTACTTAAGAATAAATAAATGATACTTCACGATATCTTCTTTAGTTTCTGTTTTCACATCACCTTTGCCTTTCCTCTTTAATAGATCTTCCAACCCAAAAATTATTCTATCTATCATTGTAGTTTATTAATTACTTTTACAACTTATTGATTGTATATCTTGTTGATTGATTGAACTGAGTTTTGTCAAAACTGACAGCTCACACCAATGAGTTTATAAGAAAGAGATACACGACATTTTAAAGTGCAATATGTTTGCAGTTAAAGTGAAGGAGGTTCATTATTCACTTTAGTGAGTTTGTTATATTTGATGGACCGACGTTTGACCACTATTTCGCCTGGTGGTAAGCGATGATGCCTAGCGCCATTTTTCACTAAATTCATATTATGTACACAACATAGACTTATCTGTAGCTTATCTTAGCTACAGATAAGTTTTCTCTTATTTCCGAAAAATGACCAGTTTTCCATAGTCATAAAACTATTTTCTCTATCACCATATTAGTCAGCGTGTACACTTTTTTTTAAATAAAGTTGCCCCACCCTGTATTTTATCCTGTATCGTGGGTGCGTTTACATACACTTTTTAATGGATACGGAGGCAAACAAGTAGACTTATCACCATCACCATCATCACAGTTTACATACACCCAGACCCGAAACAATTTGTAGATCACACAAAGAGTTGCTACGTACGGGAATCGAACCTGTTGCCCAGCCACCGTATCAACTGAGCAGTTAAACAGAACCGTACAGTGATCACAGGTCTTCTCTAATGACTTCCAAATCAGTTGATTGGAAATGGATATGCATCCAGCAGTTCCTTGCGACCTTATAAGGTCGTCTGGATGTCTATGCATCTTGCGGGTAAATGTTTTCTCTATGAAGACCGTTAGTCATGATAGCCGTTAGCCGTCACCCATATCACCCATATAATGAAGCAGCGCTAAGTTCTGACGGTAATTTCGAAGAACTGGCTGATTGGAAAGGTTTCCTTGACCTAATATGAACAGTTGAGACAATGACCTCGTCTTGTGATAGTGTATCACACCATCAGTTATTAGGTATACCATCAGCTATCAATTACCAAATTACTCCAATTTGTGGAAAGATAGAAAACTGTGGGTTTTTAAACATTTTATTTAAGATAAAATATACAAAAGTGATGACCTCAGATCAAATAGGATGTATTTATTTTTTGTGATGAATGTTTCCTCTTCCTCTTTGGGGTGTGGAAAAGGTGTAAGTTTGGTATTTTGAACATTCTGAAAACTTATTTGTATTAGAATAATTCAATTAAGACAAAGTTTTTGTTTTTATGACAAAGAGTAGGTACTGGATCAAGAAAGTTGTAAGTTCCTTTAAAATAAAATAAACTACTTCACATGGAATTCGATAAAGCAAGACAATCCAATTTGTATCTTTCCGATATAACTGGGTTTTCGTTATCAGGATCCGTTGGTTTTCTTCTGTTGTTGTAGAATCTAGTTCCAAGGCCAGTATTTAGCAAGCCAATAAAATATACGTGCCAAATACAAGTGTAGCCCATGCTAAAGCATCTAAAACCACCTCCGCTGCTTTCTGGACTATTTGTTTCCTTCTATGCCACAGTCTGTTCAAAGCCATCGTTACTTATAAGTTTCGTTCACCGCCAAAAGTTATTACAATTCAATTACAACAAAAATATCAAGACTGTCATAGTAATCTCAGCGAAAGCGAAAGAAATTGTAGCCAGAAGACAAACGTTTATAAAGCGTGCTGCGACATTACGAATTATTCTTCTCCTTCTAAGCTTCTTTTCAAGGGCTGACATTGTAGGCTATTTACTAGAATTCTTCTATCTTTATTGCATACCTGGCTATATTATATCGACATGGTCTGTTGATATATTGATATCTAAACGTCCCCGCAAGTGCAGACGCTAACACATTCAGATTTTACTTCTATAATATCTGTCTGACATTGGGTGGAACACTGTCCAAAGTTACCGCAACCCACTGGTTCAAAACCCGATATTACCCAGCAGATATGTGCACCAACTACTAAAGCTATACATGTATTAATACATGACAGTTTGAACATATCCAGAGTTGGATAATCGGGGACATCTCGCTTCGCCCCATTTGATCTGCTTGGTCTCAGTTACATAAATCTGTTGGCCATGTATAATTTTCACTGTCACAAATGACACTGAACACCAATTACTTGTCATTTTTATTTTATTTTTAACTTCATTGTCTATTGACAATGTATGAATGCTGTAAGGTTTTAATCTCATATCTCATTTTTTGTTATAGTGATTTTAGAAATGGTTTGGCCATAGCTTATCTTTAAATAAAAGAGTTAAAGAACAAAGAACTTAGTGTAGTTGTCAGCGTAAGGTGTAATTTTTTTTCTATACTGTTCTAGTAATGGGAGAATAATTACCAAAGCTGCTGCTGGTTCCTCTTCACTGGGGGTTTCATCAGTGGATCCCGTTTTAAAGGGCCGCTCATCCGTCGCCACTCGTTGCTTCATCGTGTTTCAATCCTGCAACAATAGAATACTTCTATTACATACTATGCAAAGTTAATGAAAAGTCTCAAACTGGGAAGTACGTGTGAAACGGCTTTTAAAATAAGAAAAATCAAGAACTAAGTGGCACATAATACTGCAGATGGATAATAATATACTTATTACAACTATTGTAGTATCAAGTCTTCAATTATACAAGTAAGTTGCACAATTTAGAATTTAACTGACCAACTTTTGATGATGTATAATCGGAAGGGAATATGATACAATGTGTCCAATTACTTAATTGAATGATTGGTTAAGATGACCGGGTTGTCATAAGACAATATGCACCAGGGAAGGTCATTAACCTAGCCACGTGTTAACCAAGAGAAGATCAATAGTGTCAATAGTGTTGTCGGCTTATAAATATGAAGTACAAATAGCAGAATGATGAGAGTTCAGTACCGAACTATTGGAAGCTACGTTCAGCAGGGTTACGAAACAAGCAGATGCTGATAATATTATTTTTTTAAAGATTTGATACTTTGTCAATTGTTTCCTTGATATCAAGTTGGGATACACAGCAACTAAGGTCCTAAGTATCTATCCTACCTCTTTAGAGGTATACAGAAGTCTGTAGCCGTCACAAATTTAGCTTCATATTGCAGTTTAGGAATACGATTTTAGATCTTAATCCGGTCCAGCATGCCTTAACTAAAGTTAAGTAATCTTTCGATTTCTACCCATAAACTAACGCCTTCGCAAAATTTTATGGATAACAAGTGTATTAGATTATTAGAATTACTATGAGACGTTGTAAATTCTATTTCATGTTTTATAATTAGGTATGATAACTAAGTTTTCATTACTATTTTAGTAATGTGTTAATAAAGAGACGGGTTTCGATTAGAGTTATCAAAAAATTGGGTGTATAAATTCTTTTGATCCTACTTTTCCCCACTTACCTTGTAATTAGTTCTATAGCTAGGTATATTAAACCTATAAATATTTATCGACCTCCGGCAAATGCTCGTTTCAAGTACTCTTTATTACATCTAACTTTACGACTGTCTTAGAATCCGTTTCACTTTATTATTATTAACAAACTAGTATCTAGATAAAGTTATTAAATAAGATCATTTACTTGCAGTTCATCAAGTATATTACCTCTATACTATGCTTAAGTCAAGGAACGACATTCTTTTAAATAGATTCTTTTAAATGCAAGTTAAAACAGATAGAACCCATAATCTGAATCGGTTAACTATAATAAAATGGGAAAATTTTTACTGCACCTCTATTTAGAAATTTAAGCAAACTAAATTACTCCACTAGTAACCTACTGCATATCAAAAAAAATGAACCGTAAAACAAAACTAATTGTTCAATATTAGGATAGGTTTGTTTGTTTTTTATTGCACTCGAAGAATTATTAGATTTACTTTTAGTAAAAAAATAGTCATTCAGTAAAACAGTTAAGCTTTAAAGATCTAACAGTACCTATAGTATAATTGATTTAAATAAATCAATTATACTTTGTACTGTAAATCTACTTGATTGTACACTAAATCTGCTCATCAAATGATGAGCAGATTTAGTGTGCAATTTAGTATTTTTGGTGGTAATTTTGAATATTTTGATTAAAATAAGGGAATTAACAGTTAAAGTATTAAATACCACCCTAATAAAATGGTCCTACTAGTCTATAAAGTAAGTAAAATTAGAAAATATTTTAGCAAATAACATATAGCATTCCTGGCTATGTATCGCAATAAACATAAGTATGCATTTATGAATAAATAAATAAGTACATATAATAAGTAAACGATTTAAATATATGCGAGTGCGTTGTTGTATAGACCACGTAGTTACAATAGTGTGAACCAACCGGTATTAATTTATGATAAAAACGATGCGTGATAGACTATTGCAAAAACATTGTTTGTTCAGGCGAAACTAAAGTACGCCATTCAATGGTATCTAGTCAACTAGAAAATATACGCACTTAGGTATATGTTTACTACGCAAAAACATACTGTGTCGAATGTTTGTTTAGAATTTGCGTACACCTATAACTGAGCAAATTAAATGGTCGTCTGGATTTTTGGAATAACTATTATCCAAAAGAAATTATTTGCAGACGTTTTCAGGACATAAAATACGTATTATTATGCATAGTGCAAATTCTGAATATCTAGATTAATAAAAATGAAACCCGTTTCCCGTTGTCACGCCATAACTTGAGAACGGCTAGACCGATTTGGCTGTTTTTTTTTGCTGTGTTTGTTATTGTCAGGAGAAGGTTCTTATGAGAAAAAAAATTCTGAAAATCCTACGGGAACGGGAAAAAAAGGGATTGCGCGTACGAAGTCGCGTGCATAAGCTAGTTATCTATACATTGTTTTCAGTGCTTCAGAACTGAATACTTAATGAAAACGATGAAGACGTTGTTGAAATGCGGAGTGTAATTTTGAAGTTACAATCTGAATGAGCTACGTACGCTACGAACTTTATTCGGGATTGTCGGCAATTTTACAGTCTATATTCAAAGAATAAGTATTGGAGTTGCCCTTTAAGATATTATTGCATTATCAAAGTTATTCGGACTATGTGTTTCCTACATAGAAACGAATACCATTTCCAATTGTATGACCAGTTTAAGCCAGATGTCCATTACCTTATTATACACAGATAGACTCCTTTTACTGTTATAGCTCTAGAATTACCATAAAAACAATAAGGTATAAATATCGGTAAATATTATTATGTAATAGCTATTTACATTTGTCATAGATTGCGTAAGGTCAACACTGATGTTGTACAATAAATGCTTGACCCATATTCATCTAAGACGTTGTTTACAATAGAAAACTTTGATAGAATAATACTAATCAAGTTTGTATTTAAATAACGTGTTTTGTGTTGTTGTGTATAGTGTTTGTAAACAAAAACAAGAACAAGGTGAGATAAACCCTTATTAAAATCTTAAGTTATTATAGTTGTGGGAAATTATCGTGCAGAGCTTCGAAGAGTACAGAGATGGGCATAAAGAAAAAATCAGATGACTCTATTCAACAATTTTAAACAATAGGTTGAATGAACATAATTGTCAATAGAAGAGCATAAGCCTAAATACACAGATTATAATTATTTCGCTTTCATACAAATATCAAACATTTGGAGAATATAATTATGAACATTTTTTACAAAATAAATAAATGCAAAGTAAAAGCTTGTAATTGCTCACGCTTAACTAATGCGAATGTATCTTACAATAGTTTCTATCGTAAAATTACGATAGATACAATCCAAAGGAAGCTCCAAACTTGAGGTCAATGATTTAAGATTTCAATAGCACCACGCAATTTATTTGTTTTCTGTCCCACTATTGGTCGGGTTTAGTTATTCATTCAAGGCCACGGACTATCTGTTCTAACCACGTGTATCAGCGACGCGTAAACAAAGCTACGGTAACATCATTTTGCTTAGAACTATACACAAAAATAACGTAACATTTGTTTAAACAAAAATACGTTACAATAACTTCGTTAGTTAGTGACGTGTATAGTCTACTTCGATAAATTTAATTAAAATGCGGTTTATACTGGTTTTGCTCTAATTTAGTTATTCATTGTTATGGGTGCTTTTGAAATATTTGCTGATAGTCGAATGAATTGCGTGTTTTTCCTGAAACATGAGACCAACTTCCGAAGTTACCTATTCGTGGAAATATTTATAAATAATATTTTAATGAAATGTTTTCCGTTATCCTTATTGTTTAAAGAAATGATTTGTTTTTGTTTGTTTTTTAGATAGGATTTTTGTGGAGCTTCTTTATATGAGCCTGAAAGTTCCAAAAGATTTAGTGTTATATTCACATTCTGAGATAAAATTATAGACAAAATTGTCCACAATATCTATAATTATAAGAAACATTCCATTCTATTTCTTATAAAATAAAAATAACACAATTTTATTTACAGAATTGTTCTAGAAACTCGCATTTGAATAGCCTAACCAAGTTGATTTCGATCGCAGACGAAATCGTACGATACAATGAAAACATGACGCATGCGTACTAGGTAGGTATATTTATAACATTTTTTTCGACAGTTGACCTTGTGCAGACTTTTTATTATGTTTTTCGGCCAAAGTATTTGCTGAATTGGCTCAAGTGTCAGTGTGTTGTGGTTTGTTTAAGATTCAAATTGTTCCCAAATATTTGATTACTCAATTTTTTTTAAGTTTTATGTACGGAAATACTGTAAAGAAGGTGACGTTACACCATAGGTATTTGTCTAACTTCCGTTGCTTAACCATATGGCAAGCCTCTGTAGTTTTTTGGTTCGATGTTGAACCTTTTTGGTCAGTTGGTCATCTTTTTCAGTATGAAAAGATCGTAGCCTTTTCAAGACCTTGATTTAAGATTAGCACATACATAGATACTGAGTCTTCGAAATCAGATTGAATGTCAGTTATAAGGCAGAAGTCCCTGGCTAGCCTATTCAAATAATGACTCGACATACGATCGTTTGTCCTTCATCAATTAATTCATCGAACCAATGAGCCTAACAATAAACGTTTTTTCAAAAAAAAGCTTTTAATCTCACTGAATTGTTATAAATATTAATTAGTAAGTATATGAGCTGTTTGTGTATAATTCGGATAGAGGAAGGAAGCAAGTCATAGAAATACGTTTCTCTAAATATGAATATTGTTCATTATTATTATATATTCATTAAGTAATAGACCCGTTGTCTAGCTCATGTTAGACATCTAAAGTTATCGGTGAGTCGATGAAAACAGCCTAAAGTAGCCTAACTACCACCATACTATTACATGACCATACACGTGACGTGAAAATACTTTTATCCCCCCAACAAAGCAAATAAGCAAGTAAGTACTTAATAACTTGCTCCAATATCTGATACGGGCGTTCGTTGGTCGACCCGGCTGACACAACTACCTACTGGTGTAAATCATGACCATTGCGCACTGATAACAGTGATAAGAGCGGACGT